ACCCTCGTCCATCGCATTTTTATGCTCTCCTGTAATATTTGTTACCATGCCATTGGATGGAAAATACAGGAGGAAGACAGCAGGGATGAGCCTGGTTTGGTATCTAAGAGGGCAAAGACCTTTAAGAAAGGAGGAATGTGGTAGTTAGATAGATTACTGGTGGCCTAGTTGTTCAATTGGTTGGGCACCTCATTGGAGAAAATTCAGGTGGGCCGGGTTTTATTAACATAAAAAAATTGTATGTTCAAGTTGGTTTTAGAGACATTATATTTTTCCGGGGCATGAGACAGAACAGGAAAGAACAAAATATTTATACAGCACACGGAACCACAGGCACTTGGAGTTACATAATTATATATTTTTTTAAATAACAGAATAATTACCAAGTTGGTATGGGTCATTATTTTTTTAATGAAATACAAGTAACATCAGGTGCCTATGCTCGAAACGGACAATTATATAATACATATAGTTATAACATAGGCTTCGGAACAGGAAGGGGGGGGCTTTTTTGGAAAGATACAAACAATATAGGCATTTCAGTGTAGTCACAGATGGGTTAGCAATAGGGTGTGAGAAAAAATTGTACAGTAACTGTTAGACATTTTATTCTAAGCACCCCACTACCACCACCACCACCACCAAAAAAAAAAAGAAATAAGATTTTGCGTTTGGGGACTTTCCTTTTGTTTTGCTTTTCAATTTTTTCTTTTCCTGGATTATTTTTTTTTCTCTTTCAATTAGCCCCCCCCCCCCTTTTCAATTTGCTTCCGACGCCAATGTATAATAATAATATATATTGTGTAATGAATCAACCAAAACTCTAAGCGATTTTAGTGTTCAATTAGCCTTTCTTGCATCGGGACCATGGTGAATACGTTTACACAGTGTCACTATGCCCCGAAACATTCCGAATTGATCGTTCACTATCGAACGCACCCTTGTGAGCAAAAATGCCGTCTGTTCAACCTGCAGCCCGGCTCAACGCCAACGGTATAAGTAGTAGAAGTCAGGAATGATGTGTCTATTTCCTCTCAAATCTTTTACATTTCTCAGTAGAAAATTTTCATAATGCTTCGTAGGGTTAATGAACTGACTTCCCTGATTTTGATACACACTTTTATGATATCTATACTAGTGCCTGTAAAATATGTATGTACTATATAGGCCTATTGAAAAAGAAATCTCATTAATTTTGAGTCATCCATATAAACTCTATCTGCAGTTCTGTAGCTCACTGGTCTGAAAATATTGGGATGAACGACCTGAGAGCTACAGTGCCTAACAATCCCATTTTGTTACGTTGCCTTTATTGTTAGTGAAATGGGTACACTTTCAAAATATTGACCATTTTTCCTGTTTTTAGACACAATTATATACTAAGCTACCTAATAAACAAAGGAATTGACAAAGTAAAAAAAAAATCGGTGAAATGTTTTGTTTTTCACCTATATCATGCAATTTCCATTCCTCATTTAAAACAAATGAAAAGGAAATTCGGGGTAGCCTTTATTGTGAAGTGAAAAGAGGGCATATCAAAACACAAAAATATGACATTTTTATCCTATAACTACCCCTTGCATTGACCTAATCAAGGTAACCTAATAAACCAAAGATTTTTCCGGTCACTGCCCTAATAAAGCCTGTGCATTTATTCCGACTTTCTAAAAGCATTGCAACGTCATGCATATTGCAATTTTTACGCCATGGCGTCATAGTTTCAACTGCAGAGATGTGCCTTAATCTGTCGAAAATAGCTAGTTTTGGACGTTCAAATGTAAAAGTTTGTTGCAGGATAAACAAAATATGTTATAACTGTATGAGCAAGTCCCACTCTCTATCACGTTTTCTTACCTTCGCCCAGATATCGCTTATATTTCAAGACAGTAACCATGTATTTTATTTTTATCTAACTAGATATTTTACAAGTCGCAGTGGGTCTACATATCATCAACAAATGATTGTTATATTAATTTCTCAAAATTAAAAAAATCTTACATTATGAAAGAATTTTCTCTCCATACTTTATTTTTCTTAACACACACCCATCAAAATCATACCTACGTACCCAATTATTTTTTTTTTCTCAGCATTTAAAATTTTTATCATTACCCTTTTTCTGGTTCCTTTGAAATACAGATTGCCTATAGGGTTTTCAAAGTTAAAGTCTTTTATTTCCTAAAGACGTTAAAAGTTTTGATATCAATAATTATTAAGGTAGGTCGCGGGTTTGCTTTTGTCATCAATTTTGGTACACAAAGTCGACGAATCGATGTGTTTTGTGCACATTTGATTATGACGTCAGTTACGTCACAAAGGCGACGTTACAATGTTTCCCGTTTAATTATCTGAAAATTCATTATAAATATCCCATGCGAACTAAGGAAATTTAAAAAGTACCAAGTTAATCTCTGCATGTATGAACAAATATCGAGTATTATTCAATAAGTCTGAATTATGTTGGGATTATTTGTAATGTCTTAGAAGAAACTATTAATATGAAAGGATTAATGTATATTGTAAGTGATATTAAACTGCTAAAGTTTTGTCAAAATGAATCAGTGTAAAAAGTATTAATATATGTAAAAAATAAGTTACCGTACTTCTAGCCAAAAACTTAGGTTGCATGTGCGCACGTAATTTGTAAGCGCTTAATATGTAAGCGTTCAATTTACATCTTGTTTCCAATCAAAGCTCGAAAAAACTTTTTGTATATTTTCAGGATAAAACCATACCTATTCAGTACTCGACAGTAAAAACATGGTTAATTTACCTGTTATTTTTTTCGTTTTTTTTTTAAATTTCATACGTGAATTTTGTCGAGTTGCTATGTACACTCTATATGCAAGCCGACAACATATTGATTTACTAGTATAAAAGTGAAATACATGTACATCATATAGTAATAAAGTTATACAAATGCCGGCCTATCGGTTTAGCTTATAATTATGACACTGTAATTAAAGAGATGATAATAAACTATAAGATTACACATGTACATGATGCGAGTATGAAGTACAGTTTTTTTTTATATATATAACAATATCTATCAGTGTAAGCTGAATCAACATTTTGATATATTTGATGACGAAAAATAAACAGATGTTTGAGAGTTATAGGACGATATGCTGGCTTGCGACTAATATTGAAAGAACGTTGCCGGTAACCCCCCCCCCCCCTCCTCTTAGTAGCCGGGATTTTTCGAATGAAGTGTTAAAATTCATGTGTAATAGCTGAAATCTTAATGAACATGTACATCCTAAAAATATATGAATTAATATATTACTAGTATCACTCGCGGTGTTGTCGCTGCATCTTAATTCTAATGCACGAAGGATATTTTATATCTTAAATACCGTTCATTCGGACTTCGTAGGCAGTGTTATGAATAATTTCATAATACTAGACAATTAAAATAAGATGTGGTCTTTCTAATGTTCAAGTTTCACGAATAATAGAAATGATTTATAAAATTAAAGTGTACATCTGTGTCATCCAAATATAAAGATTTCTATTTAAACGTGATTACGTTCAACATGCCGTTGTAGTCATAAATAACGCCATAAACGCAACATTTTGGCAATATAAAACCAAACTTTGAAATGAAATAGCAAAAAAACTAGCGAGAACACATATTAATTTTTTCATCTCAATAGTTTTAGTACCATCTCTTCTTGATATTGTGAAATTCTTGACTAATTCGTCTACGTATTTTAGAAGTTATACGACATTTTTAAAATAAGCTCCCTCCATAAATTTGGTGCAAAAACGTCATTTTGCTATATATTTCAATGGTAAAGCGTAAAAATAGTACCAAAAACAATAGTGTGTTTACCGTTATATACCATTAAAACCATTTAGGCAAATTTGTTAAAAATTACAGATAATATGCTTCAAATTCTAAGGAACATTATACCAAATGTTCAAGGTAGGTCTTCTCGTAAGAATTTTTATGCTGTAAACCCGCGACCTACCTTAAATCTGACTAGCTGTTCCATGTATACATTGAAATGAGAAAAAAAAACAGTTATGTCTCAGTCAGTAATTTAAACGACAGTTATCAATGTGTTAGATAATTAGAAAACAATACTTATCTTCCTACCTACCTACCTATTAACCCTGAAAAATATGATCTGGAGTACATTATATACATCAAACATTTATTTTTTCATGATAGCCCCAGCTCTCTTTTTCTTGTCAGCAAATAATGACTCCTTACTATTATACATGTATATCCTTGTACATGTATTATTTGATACTAAATAAACTTAAAATTATGTTTATCAATACTTTGTAAAATGTTTACTGATAAGACATTGTTACAAAAGAAACATACTACAGTATGAAGAAACAAAATAGTTAGGGGGAGTTAAATAACTCATTTTTATATCCAGCCATGAATATGGCCGGGGCATATAGTGTTTGTCATGTCCGTCTTCCGTCCTTCTGTCCTTTCGTCCTTCCGTCACACTTTGCGTTTAGCTTTGTTTAAAGCTAAGTTTCAAAGAAACTACCCAAGATATTTTCATCAAACTTCATATGCTGATAGATATTGATGAGAGCTATGCAACTGCATCAACATTTTTTGACCTTGACCTTTTCTTTGACCTTCATCTCACTTTTCTTAAATTAGTGTTTAGCTCAGTTTTAAACATACCATTCAAGATGGTGTTATCAAACTTTACATGTTGATACAAACTTGCACAGATGATGCATCTCGGGATGAACACTACCAGACTTGCTTCGGATGCTGGATCTGACCTACATTTTCCAAATGCAGGTTGAAGTTTTTGGAGCAGGTCCATTCCTAAGGAACTATAAGCCATACTTGGACCAAACGTGCATGGATGATGCATTTAGAGATGGACACTACCAGACTTGCTTCGGATGCTGGATCTGACCTACAGTTTTATTCCCTAGTAACTATAAGCCCTACCTGAACCAAACTGGTCAAATTTTATATACAGATCTGACCTATATTTTCATTCCCAAGTAACTATAAGCCCTACCTGAACCAAACTTGCATGGATTATGCATGTAGGGATGGATACAACCAGACTTGTTTCGGATGATGGATCTGACCTATATTTTCATTCCCAAGTAACTGTATGCCCTACCTGAACCAAACTTGCATGGATGGACAGTACCAGACTTGCTTCAGATGCTTGATCTGACCTATATTTTCCATACAAGCAATTCAGCTGTATCACTATTCAAGATATTCTGATCAAATTTTATACACATATAATTTTTCATGTTGCTTAACTGATATATCCTCGGCGGGGCATTCATGTCTATGGACATATTTCTAGTTTAACTGGAAAAATTATGTTATCAATTTCTTACCCTTTCAGGCTGAGAATAAAGATTGATGTGGCATTGTTTTATCTGATGAAGTGTCTGAGAAACTAAGATTTTTTGGCCTAAAGGTAAATAAAACACTACTTATGCATACAAAGTTTTTAAACCTGCTGGTTCTTATTTTATGCAAATTAATTTGAAACTTGTATCTGTAAATTCTGCATCCCAAATGAAGAACATTATAAAATTTAAATTTGTAATACTGTAATAAGCAAACTTTTTAATGTGTTTAAAAGAATGAAATGAAATAATGTCAGTTCATCTTTTTTAAACAGATTGTTCCAAGAATGTAATAAAGCAGCATCATTTTGGTTGTACCGGTTAGCTCCCAAGTGCTGATGACACAGACAGAGGGTTCTAAGTACTCTACATAACTAAAGAAAATCTCTGTAGGTATACATTTCTTTTTTCACTTTTACTATTCGTTGACCTAATTTGAAAGTTTGTGAATTTTTCTGATCACCCATTGTCTGGCTCTGTTTGTCTGTATGCTTAGTTGTCCATCTGTGAATTATATATTTTTGTTGCTATTTGAGAACATACAAATACTGGGACAAATTGAACCAAAGTTGGTACAAATTTAAAATTCTTCAAATGAAGGGCCAATTTTCATCTCCAAAGGGAGATAATTAAAAAAAGGGGAATAATTAGGATAGTGTGGAGCCATAATACGGGACCAAAGTTAATAAAACTTTTAAACAAATAATTTTTCAGAAGAGTTGATACTAAATTATGCGTTAAGTCCCATAACTGTATAAAAATAATCTTTTATTGGATGAAAGTATATGCAACTCGTACCAAAATTATCAGATTATAAAATGTATGTTTCAAAACCTCTAATTAATCTGGGAAAAGAAAAATGAGTAGTATTCTTTTATTTCTTGATTAATAAATAAAAAGCTTAACTTTGTATATCTGATGCCTATTATTAAATAATGATGATAATTATTACTATGTGAAGGCATTTTCTACTTAACATGTAAATATATGAAAAAGTTGTCTGTCAATAAGTTTGATTTAATTTTGACAGGTTCTACAAATTGTGATGGATATCCGTGTAGATGAAGAATACATCCCATATGTACAGGTTTCATGTTTTCCTTTTATGTTAACTAGTATATGACTTATGCCAAAAAATTATTCTAGTTTCTCAGGCAAAATATGGCAAAGTTTCATTTGGGATTTTTTAGCATGTGTTATCCCCCTTTTCTTTAAAACAGATAATGATTGCTTTCTATTTTATACTCATACTATTAATATTGATCAATAAACCTTTAAAATTATATTTATCAATACTTTATAAAAATTTTGCCGATAAAACATTGTTGTAAAAAATATGTTGTGTATCAGAATCTAAAGTATTTTAAAAGCATAGCACTTTTTGTCTCAATTTGCAAAATTAGAAAATACTTTAAAAGGGTACACACTTCCGCCCCCCAAACAGGTTTCTGAGAAACTACTGTACAAATTAATTATATTGGCTTAAGTTAAAAAATATGATTATCTATTCATCCAAGGTTTTAAAAGTTTCTAGATCCATGTATTCTGGAAATCGATATTAAACACAGATCCTCAGTTAAAGATTGCTTTGCCAGTGATGGAACATTAATTTTAATGGTAGAAAACTTAATGATGATGTTTAAGATTTAAATGCAATAATGACAGTATGTCTTTCTTAAACACAGATTGTTCCAGGAATGGTATAAAGCAGCATCATTTTGGTTGTACTGGTTATCTCCCAGATCCTAATGACACAGGCACAGGGTTCCGTGCACTCTACATAACCAAAGTCTCTGTGGTATATATATCTTTATTACATTTGTTATTGGTTCATTTATAATCTAAAAGTTTGTGAACGTTTCTGATCACCATCATTGTCCGGCCTCTGTCTGTTAGTTTGTCCGTAAACTTTTAACATACAGTTGTATAGATTTTTATTTATTTATGTTTTGGAGAACGTTCAACTTCTGGGCCAATTTTACCAAAGTCTTTGTAAAGAATCTTTGGTAGTGATGAATTTATTATAATTTGTTTGAGGGTCAAGTCCAAATTCTAGAGGAGATAATTAAAAAGAAGGTAAACATATTTAAGACAGTGTGGAATCATAATATCGTTATTGGAGCAAAGTTTAAAATAGGAAGATAAAAAATTTGTTAAGAATTAAGCATTAAGTCAGAAAGGAGAAAACCTACATATAAGGTTCCTTAACTCTAGAACTGTAAAAAAAAATCTAAATTGATAAAATCATGGTTCCACAATAAAAGATCAAAGTTTTACATATGGGATTAATATTCCAATGCTCTAGAGGAAAAAAAATATAAAAAATTTGAAATATGTACAATTATTAAATTGTTCAAATCATGGCTCCTGGTGTAGGGGGAAGGGGGGGGGGCAAAATAGAGGATCAAAGTTTTACATGTGATTATGCAATAATTTTGAGAGGAAAAAAAAGAATTAAAAAAAAAACATGAAACTTACAAGTAAGCTCCCTGATATATGTAAAATATCACAGTGCTGTATATGTTTTGATCTCGGCCGTTGGTATATCAGCCCGAGCGGTTGGAATCTGCCCAAGCCTTAATGGTCAAGACCATCCTAGGGTCAACATTATATTGGTCAAAACAGCGATATGATGTTAGTTGTTTATATCACGTATTATAATAAAACCAGACAATTTAGGCTAATGGAATGCATACTTATAGATTGGAAAAAAGTTTGAAAACACTCAATTCGTATTTTAGTGGCAAGAAAATGAAATTACTATTTATTAGAGCTATCCACTTTTGTTTTGAATCTTCATAATTGAGGTAAAGACGTGATGCTTGAAGAAAGTTACTGAATAATCACGAATGGAGAATAGCGATGATGAGAAAGAATTTGACCATTTAGAAGAAATTAACATGTATTTTTGAAACCTTTTTTCCTACCATAGCACATTTGATTATTAAGATTTGAAGTTCCCAAACTTAAGAGAGTTCTACTGTCAGTTTCAAGCATGCTTCCTGTCATAACAGGCTAGGCCAGAAGTTTTCAACTTTAAAACATGCTTAAACATAGCATATAAAGATAAATTTGTATATTCTTACAGCCGAAACAGATAAACAAGTCAACCTTTTCGTGTTCAAAATATGTGTTAATATGTTCTATTTTAACAAGAGTTACCTCTACCAGGCTGAAGCTAGCAGCCAATAACAGCAGCCACTAAGCCCGTAGAAGCTAGCAGCCAATAAGGAAATTCATCAAAGAACTGAGAGTACTTAGAGGCAGTACTGTTTTAATACTTCATTTAAGATGATTAAGGGTTAATCATTGGATAATTAATGCAACAATTATAAATAAATAAATAAGACACTCAGAGGCAGTAAGGCTCACCTGAAAAAAACATTTCTTTTTTAACAGAAAAAATTAGAAATAAATTACCCTATCATCTAATTCCAGTTAAACAAACACGTAGTAGGAAAATGTAATTACTCAAAGAAGAATACCTTTTCACCTCTTTCAAGGTCCTCAAGAATATGACAGGGCCAATGAGCTAACCTGAAATATGGTTACTCTAACGATTGTAAACTGAAATATTGCACACGTGTAAACTACGTTGAAGTATGTTTCGAAAATTATTACTCAGTAAACTTTATGGGTCTATGAAACTTTTTAAAACCGTTATCAGTAATAAGTGGTGGTGGTGCCACCAAGTGGTTCCTAAAAATTTTACTATTACAGGGAGGTATTATACCCATAACTTATAAAGTGTCCACTTTATCATAGGGAAGGCAAGGGCCCAAGGATTATTGTTTCCTGCTATCAGAACAAGACTGAAGTGGTACCTCCCGCTGGTGCCCAGTGCATGGGACTTAATTCAAGCAATCAATTGTCATCAATAATTATCTACTTGAACAAACAATAACTGGGGATGGATTAAGGGACTTTCAAAGTATCCCTACTCAACCATTCAAAAGGTCTCAGATAGCGGTAAAAGCCAGTAGCTATTCTCTGACATGTTCATCAAATGATTACCGGGGCAAGGTAGAAGGACAATACGACTATCATACCCCACTTTAAAAATGGGGCTGTAGTGGCACCACCAAATGGTGCCTAGAGCGTGGGGCATATTTCGAGTACTCATTTGGCCTTCATTTCTGGGAACCTGAACCATCTATCACTGGGGATGGGTTGAGGGTCTTAGGGAATATCCCCTGTCAAAGTTTCAAAGGGTCCAAGGGGCTTGAAAGGCCCAGTAAGCTAACCTGAACTTTGATGTTTTTCATCATTGTATATTTTGAAACTGTAAAAGGGCAGCTATTACAAGCCTTATCTTTGAAGTGTTCATCAAATGATTACCGGGGCAAGGTAGAGGGAACCTAGGACTATCATTTCTCACTTTCAAAATGGGGCTGTAGTGGCACCACCAAGTGGTGCCTATAGCGTGGGGCATATTTCGAGTACTCATTTGGCCTTCATTTCTGGGAACCTGAACCATCTATCACTGGGGATGGGTTGAGGGTCATAGGGAGTATCCCCTGTCAAAGTTTCAAAGGGTCCCAGGGGCTGGAAAGGCCCAATTAACTAACCTGAACTTTGATGTTTTTCATCATTGTATATTATGAAACTGGAAAAGGGCAGATATTACACGCCTAATCTTTGAAGTGTTCATCAAATGATTACATGGGCAAGGTAGAGGGACCCTAGGACTATCATTTCTCACTTTCAAAATGGGGCTGTAGTGGCACCACCAAGTGGTGCCTAGAGCGTGGGGCATATTTCGAGTACTCATATGTCCTTCATTTCTGGAAACCTGAACCATCTATCACTGGGGATGGGTTGAAGGTCTTAGGGAGTATCCTCTGTCAAAGTTTCAAAGGGTCCCAGGAGCTGGAAAGGCCCAGTTAACTAACCTGAACTTTGATGTTTTTCATCATTGTATATTTTGAAACTGGAAAAGGGCAGCTATTACATGCCTTATCTTTGAAGTGTTCATCAAATGATTACCGGGGCAAGGTAGAGGGACCCTAGGACTATCATATCCCACTTTCAAAATGGGGCTTTAGTGGCACCACCAAGTGGTGCCTAGAGCGTGGGGCATATTTTGAGTACTCATTTGTCCTTCATTTCTGGGAACCTGAACCATCTATCACTGGGAATGGGTTGAGGGTCTTAGGGAGTATCCCCTGTCAAAGTTTCAAAGGGTCCCAGGGGCTGGAAAGGCCCAGTTAGCTAACCTGAACTTTGATGTTTTTCATCATTGTATATTATGAAACTGGAAAAGGGCAGATATTACACGCCTAATCTTTGAAGTGTTCATCAAATGATTACATGGGCAAGGTAGAGGGACCCTAGGACTATCATTTCTCACTTTCAAAATGGGGCTGTAGTGGCACCACCAAGTGGTGCCTAGAGCGTGGGGCATATTTCGAGTACTCATTTGGCCTTCATTTCTTGGAACCTGAACCATCTATCACTGGGGATGGGTTGAGACTCTTAGGGAGTATCCCCTGTCAAAGTTGTAAAGGGTCCTAAGGGCTGAAAAGGCCCAGTTAGCTAACCTGAACTTTGATGTTTTTCATCATTGTATATTTTGAAACTGGAAAAGGGCAGCCATTATACGGCTTATCTTTGAAGTGTTCATCAAATGATTACCAGGGCAAGGTAAAGGGACTCTAGAACTATCATTTACCGCTTTTAAAATGGGGCTGTAGTGGCACCACCAAGTGGTGCCAAGAGCGTGGGGCATATTTCGAGTACTCATTTGGCCTTCATTTCTGGGAACCTGAGCCATCTATCACTGGGGATTGGTTGAAGGTCTTACGGAGTATCCCCTGTCAAAGTTTTAAAGGGTCCAAGGGGCTGGAAAAGCCCAGTTAACTAACCTGAACTCTGATGTTTTTCATCATTGTATATTTTCGAAACTGTAAAAGGGCAGCTATTACAAGCCTTATCTTTGAAGTGTTCATCAAATGATTACCAGGGCAAGGTAGAGGGACCCTAGAACTATCATTTCTCACTTTCAAAATGGGGCTGTAGAGGCACCACCAAGTGGTGCATAGAGTGTGGGGCATATTTCGAGTACTCATTTGGCCTTCATTTCTGGGAACCTGAACCATCTATCACTAGGGATGGTTTAAGGGTCTTACGGTGTATCCCCTGTCAAAGTTTCAAAGGGTCCGAGGGGCTGGAAAGGCCCAGTTAGCTAACCTGAACTTTGATGTTTTTCATCATTGTATATTTTGAAACTGTAAAAGAGCAGCTATTACACGCTTTATCTTTGAAGTGTTCATCAAATGATTACTGGGGCAAGGTAGAGGGACCCTAAGACTATCATTTCTCATTTTCAAAATGGGGCTGTAGTGGCACCACCAAGTGGTGCCTAGAGCGTGGGGCATATTTCGAATACTCATTTGGCCTTCATTTCTGGGAACCTGAATCATCTATCACTAGGGATGGGTTGAAGGTCTTAGGGAGTATCCCCTGTCAAAGTTTCAAAGGGTCCCAGGGGCTGGAAAAGCCCAGTTAAATAACCTGAAATTTGATGTTTTTCATCATTGTATATTTTGAAACTGAAAAAGGGCAGCTATTACACGCCTTATCTTAAAAGTGTTCATCGAATGATTACCTGGGCAAGGTAGATGGACCCTAGGACTATCATTTCTCACTTTCAAAATGGGGCTGTAGTGGCACCACCAAGTGGTGCCTAGAGCGTGGGTCTTATTTCGAGTACTCATTTGGCCTTCATTTCTGGGAACCTGAACCATCTATCACTGGGGATGGGTTGAGGGTCATAGGGAGTATCCCCTGTCAAAGTTTCAAAGGGTCCCAGGGGCTGGAAAGGCCCAGTTAGCTAACCTGAACTTTGATGTTTTTCATCATTGTATATTATGAAACTGGAAAAGGGCAGATATTACACGCCTAATCTTTGAAGTGTTCATCAAATGATTACATGGGCAAGGTAGAGGGACCCTAGGACTATCATTTCTCACTTTCAAAATGGGGCTGTAGTGGCACCACCAAGTGGTGCCTAGAGCGTGGGGCATATTTCGAGTACTCATTTGGCCTTCATTTCTTGGAACCTGAACCATCTATCACTGGGGATG